CCTTTCCCCTTCTATTTCTGCACTACCCTCCTGTCGATTTAGCTCTAATGCTGCTGTTGGTTTGGCTTCGCTGCTGTTCCCCCACTTTAAATGGGGGGGGGGGGGGTCCCTTTTAAACCTTTCAACAGGGCTCCCAGCTCTTATTTTGGCTTCCCTGTGGGTCCCAGGGGGGGCTGTTGGTGGCTGCCCCCATCCCCTGGGAGCCCAGGCTGGGCACCCCAACCTCAGGCTTGCGTAAGGAGAAGACTGGGATGGGTTCTTGGCATGAAGTGTGATCTAATGAACTCTGATCTAATGAGCTCTCCTCTCCCTAACTTGGCAGGTACTTGTAATAATTCCATTTATATATAAGTAGGTGTTTGATGGTTTAGCTCTGGAGCTAAAATGCTTGGCAGGTACTTGTAATAATTCCATTTACATATAAGTAGGTGTATGATGGTTTAGCTCTGGAGCTAAAATAAAAGAATTTGTATGAGCAATAACCAGTAAAAACCCATTCCAGACCAGCTGAGCTGGTCTGGAATGGGTTTTTACTGGTTATTGCTCATACAAATTCTCATTGGGGTGATTGTTGTTAGGGTTAAAGTAATAATTAATTCCTAGTAAATGGAGAAAATGATGTATTTGAGTAAGGGATTAAAAAAGCATAAGAGATCCTCTTCATCTCTTAAGTATTTAGGCAAAAGACTTTCCTACCTTGTGGCTGTCCCGTGTGGGTCCGGAGCAGCTCTTGTGGTGGCTCTCCCTGGTGGCAGCTGTCCCCAGAGGTCCAGGGTTGGGATTGTACCTAGTGAAGGTCCAAAAAAAACCCAGCGATGTTGGATTTAACGTGGGGTCCTGGGAGGAGAAGGTCTGGGGATGGATTTTTGAGGAGAAACTGCAGCAATTCAGCCCACTCCTGTTGGATGGCGTGGTGTTGGAGGGGATTGGAAACTGCTTGGTGCTGTCTCCTGGGTTCCTATGGCACGTAGAGTGGCTTGTGGAGTTGTGATGTATATTTCTTGGCGATTGGTTCAGAAATGGGCTGGTCCTTGTGTTTCAGGAAGACACCATAAGTGACGGTAACGCTGCAGGGGACACTGAGCTCCATCTCAGAGCTGGGATTAATTGGGGGAGTGAGTAAGATGCTCCTCCTGAGACCTCGCAGCAAGACTTAAATGCTGTAGCAAAGCCTAAAAGTGAAGTCTGCAAAGGTGCATCCTCACAAAGGGATTAATGAATGAGAATGGTGTTTAAACAAGAGTTAGAGTGATAACCTGAAGGAGAAAAGCCAAGTGGGGGGGGTATGGACGGCCTGCAGTGAGCGGGGGGACAGGCAGGCATGGCCTCCCAGTCAGCTGTAGGTCAAGCCAGCCTTCTATATCCTGCAGGGTGTCCAGTTGCCTGGAATGCATTTGGCAGTGACTGGATATTCCAGTTACCAATTTAGCCCAGAAATGTACAGCGGGGAGCTGTTTTGACGTGCTCTGGATGGGCAAATGTCCCTCCTGCTCCAGCTCCATGTTGGGGGTCTGTCAGAAGGGGTGAAACCATGTACCCCCAGCCCAGCTTTAACAGCCTGGAGACACGGCTGGAGCAGCGGCAGCGATTACTTGAGCAGGGGGAGGGCATGAGATGGGCTCAGGCGAGGTGCTAGATGGGCTGATGGTCTTGCCAAGGAATTTGTGGGGGACGAGGATCTCTGGGAGTAACACTGGGTCCAGAAGCACGGCACGTTCTGCCTCCGTGCTGCGTCCAACGAGCCAGAAATACTCGATGAACCTCTTTGCTGGTGGAAGTTTCACTTTGGTGGAGTGAATTCTGCTTTGTGGAAGTCCTTTGTAGTGAGGCTGCCGTGCCTTCGCAGGGAAGGGTGACCAGCTTTCTAAAAATGGGAGCTGATAGTATCTTAGCTCGAAACACACACCAGGTGAACGATACACACAGACTCTGGGCCTTGCAGAGCAGGAACAGCACATACACTTTCTCAGCCTGCACAAAGAAATTGGTCCCTCTGGCAGTTTTGTTTGCTGGTCCCCACTTTGGGCCGCAAAGCTCTAAACTGAGACTGAAATATGCTGCTTAACACAATTTGGCATAAAGGTGCAATAGGGTTATAAGCAAGAAAAGAGCCTTTTCTGCCCCGGCTTGTGGTTGGCATCTGCTTTTTCCTGGTCTATATTGCAGAGAGCTTGTTTTTGATGGTCCTGAAGATACTAACTGCTTTGGTAACTCTTTCTGTGTCGTAGCAACGATGCGGTGGTGATCTCTGGAAGGAAGCTGGCCCGGCAGATCAGGCAGGAAGCCCGGCACGAGGTTGAGCAGTGGGTGGCGGCTGGAAACAAGAGACCTCACCTCAGCGTCGTTCTCGTCGGCGAAAACCCAGCCAGTCACTCCTACGTACTGAACAAAACCAGAGCGGCTGCTGACGTCGGTACGTCTTGCTCTCTGTTCCCAAAAAGTAGAGCAAGTGACTGTTTTATCTTGCTTTAGTTGGGAGTTCTCTGCACTGGAGGTTGGGGGAAGCTTTTTTGGGCTGCGTCCATCTGGCAGCCCACGTTTGCCCCAGCGCTTGCTGTGACTCTTCTGGCTGCATTCACTGTTCTGGGATGTAGTTAATGATGACTGTTTTATCTTGCTTTAGTTGGGAGTTGTCTGCACTGGAGGCTGGAGGAAGCTTTTTTGGGATGTGTCCATCTGGCAGCTCTTCAGCTGCGTGGCAGCCCATGTTTGCCCCAGCGCTTGCTGTGACCCTTCTGGCTGCCTTCACTGTGCTGGGATGTAGTTAATGACACAATTCTTTGCTAAAGCAGGATTGCCTAGAGCTTGTCAGAGCATGTTACTCAGGAGCATCCAGGCAGGTCTTGAAAATCTCCAAAGAAGGGGACTCCACACCCTCCCTGGGCAGCCTGTTCCTGGGCTCTGTCACCCTTACTGTGAAGAAGTTTTCTCATTTGAAATTCATGTCTGCATTGTGCTGTTGGAATCCCTTTAGGGCAACATCAGAAGGGGACTCCACACCCTCCCTGGGCAGCCTGTTCCTGGGCTCTGTCACCCTCACTGTGAAGAAGTTTTTTCTCATATTTGAAATTCATGTGTGCATTGTGCTGTTGGAATCCTTTAGGGCAACAGCAAACTCTGGAGTTTGGACTTAGAGCCTTCCTAGGGCCATATAAAGTACAGACTCTTAACTCTGAGGTACAATTATCCTTCAGCCTTGCTGCCCTCTGATGGAGATCTTGCAAGCCAAGGTCCTGCTCAGTGCTCAGCTGGCTATGCTTCTGGAGAAGATATGGTGAAAGGGGCTAGGAGGCAATAAATGGTTGAATTTCTCCTTGGGTTCTGTGCTGCCAAAGCTCTCCTTGGAGCTGGGACTTCCAGGCCAATATCCCCTTCTTACTGGACCACAGGACATGTGGTTCCATCTTCATCATAGCCTACCTTGGTTAGGTTTCTCCAAGCCCTCCCTGCAGCCAGAAGGTCTCTGCTTTCCAATACTCTTTCCCAAATCATTAGCCTGACACTAATGGTCCTTAACCATAACTTGCCAGATTTAGGATGGTCTCCAGCCTGGAAGCTGCTCTTTGTTACCCCAAGCATGCAATCCTTGGTGTGTGCCTGTCAGATTGGACAGAGCAACAAGGCAGGGCAGCTTAAATCCACATGGATTAAAGAAGTTGCTCTCCTGCTTGTGTGCAGAGTCTTTCTAATGCAGCTCTTTGAATGATTGTGCAGGAATCAGCAGTGAAACCATCCTCAGGCCGGCGTCTATTACGGAAGAGGAGCTGCTGGATCTGATCAGCAAACTCAATAATGATGCCAACGTGGATGGCCTGTTAGTACAGCTTCCCTTACCTGGTGAGTACCTGGATTTCCATCTGTTTTGGTTTTACATAAAGCTTTTTAAGGGTAAAGCCTTTAAGGGGTAGCACAGGGTCTATCCTGTGACACGAGAGGTGGCACCCTGCCATGATGCAGTGACTCCTCCACAGCTGCCTGTAGGAGTTAAGTTGCTGGGGGTCACAGAAATCTCTTCTTGTGTGGGGAGTATCAGATTCCAGAGCCAGAAGCTTGAACTTGGCGACGACACTGAGGCTGCCTAAAAATATCCTCTCACTATTAGTTGTGTTTTAGTCCCAAAGTGGTTCTGCTGGGAGCCTTGAGTTCTGCAAGGCTTGAGTAACTTCCAAACTGTGAAGGGGCTGGTGCAGCAGGTCAGGGCTCTGGCTGTCTGCAAAGAGCAGGTTTTTGGCTGATCCCTAGAGTTAAAGCTTTTTCTTCTCTTCCAGAACACATTGATGAGCGCAAGATTTGCAACGCTGTGACTCCAGACAAAGATGTTGATGGCTTCCACGTGATAAACGTGGGGCGCATGTGCCTTGACCAGTACTCCATGCTGCCAGCTACCCCCTGGGGCGTGTGGGAGATCATCAAGAGGACTGGTAAGCTGCTGCTGCAGCACCATTTGGCTGCTGTCTGGTGTAACTCCAGCTTGAGCTTGTCCTAAGGGTCCATCGTGTCCTCTGCAGGCATCCCAACGCTGGGGAAGAACGTGGTGGTGGCTGGCAGGTCGAAGAATGTGGGCATGCCCATCGCCATGTTGCTGCACACGGACGGACGGCACGAGCGCCCAGGAGGTAGGAACTTGGTGGCCTTGGGGCCTGTGTGCCAGGCAGCCCTCAGCCTGTCACATTTAGGCTCCTAAACCAGTCTTGGGAGCGCTGCAGGGACATCACAAGGGCTGTGGCCAAGACTGAGGAGTTAACTCTGCATGTAGTCAGTCTTGTAACATTTAGGAACCTTCTACAGGGAGTCCTCATCCTCTTTGACACCAGGTCCCTCCCTTTGTAGGCTGTTCCCTGGGGTTTGTCACAGAATCACAGAATCTTCTAGGTTGGAAGGGACCTTAAAGATCATCTTGTCCAACCGTCAACCTAACTGACAAAAATAGACACCCACACAACAAACAAGAAGCATCATCACTAAACCAGACCTCCCAGCACTACATCAACCTGTCTTTTGAACCCCTCCAGGGATGGTGCCTCAACCCCCTCCCTGGGCAGCCCATTCCAAGGGCTGAGAACCCTTTCAGTGAAAAAATTTTTCTTAATATCCAGCCTGAACCTCCCCTGGTGTAACTTGAGGCCATTTCCTCTTGTCCTGTCGCCTGTGACTTGAGAGAAGAGACCGCCCCCCCCCTCTCTACACCCTCCTTTCAGGGAGTTGGAGAGAGCAATAAGGTCTCCCCTCAGCCTCCTCTTCTCCAGGCTGAATAACCCCAGCTCCCTCAGCCTCTCCTCATAAGACTTCTTCTCCAGACCCCTCACCAGCTTTGTCGCCCTTCTCTGGACCCGCTCCAGCACCTCAATGTCTTTTTTATGGTTGTCATCAGGTTCTGATGTCCCTGATAAATATATGGGTGGTCTTGAAGGGGAAGACTTAGAGAAGTGGCTGGGTTTGGGTCGTACCTGTGAATTAACAAGCTCGGTGTAACCACTCCTGCAGGTGATGCCACGGTCACAATATCCCACCGCTACACTCCCAAGGAGCAGCTGAAGCAACACACCATCCGTGCTGACATTGTGGTGGCAGCAGCAGGTGAGACCTGATTCAAGAAGTCCTGCAGAGGGTGTCACAGCTTGTGTGGTGTTTCTGAGGAATCCTTGCTTGCAGGAGACAGTCCTGTTGGTACGGAGTGTCCTGTGACCTCCCAGTCTGAAGCGGCTCTGGCAGTGTAGGAGAGTCTGGTGCTCTTATGGCTGCCAGCAGCTGCCCTAGGTGAGGGCCAGGACAGTGAGTGAATCGTAGAATCATTGAATCATCTCAGTTGGAAGGGACCTTTCAGTTCATCAAGTCCAACCATCAACCCAGCTCTGCCCAAACCCCCACTGACCCATGTCCCTCAGCACCACATCTGCCCGGCTTTTACATCCCTCCAGGGATGGGGACTCCACCACTGCCCTGGGCAGCCTCTTCCAAGACCTCACAACCCTTTCCATGAAGGAATTTTCCCCAGTATCCATCCTAAACCTCCCCTGGAGCAACTTGAGGCCGTTTCCTCTTGTCCCATGGCCTGTTCCTTGGGAGAAGAGACCGACCCCCCCTGGCTACACCCTCCTTTCAGGGAGTTGGAGAGAGCCAGAAGGTCTCCCCTCAGCCTCCTTTTCTCCACGCTGAACACCCCCAGCTCCCTCAGAAGTTCTCCAGACCCTTCTCCTTGTGCTCCAGACCCCTCACCAGCTCTGGTGCCCTTCTCTGGACCCGCTCCAGCCCCTCAATGTCCTTCTTGGAGTGAGGGGCCCAAAACTGGACACAGTATTGGAGGTGGCATCTGAGCCAGCCTGTTTATCCTGTGAGTAAGCCCAGGAGCCACATACTTGATATTACTACAGAGCTGTTTATAGCTCTGTCTTTGAAATGCAAATTAACATCTGGCAGGAGGGTTTGGTCATGCCAGTGAGCACCTGATCAGAGCTAGAGAACAGCTACAGACAAGCTGTGTTACACGTGCAGATGGTTCTCTATTTGTGTGTGGAGGAGCAAAAAAAGTCCCAAGATAACATCTGCTTACCTAGGGAGAGGCAAAATACCAAGGGATGGCTGCGGTGCCATCTTCAGAGCACAAGGCATCACTCGGAGGTGTGCTCCTCTCCAGGCTCCCCCCTTGGCAGAGGAGTTGAGCTGATTTGGGGTGTCTGTTGGGCAGCAGGAGCTGGGTGTGAGCCTGCAGAGAGGGAGGAAAGAAAATGAGGTGTTTATCTGGCAGAACCAGACAAACACACCCCACCCTGAGAGGGTGGCTTGGCCCTGGGTCACTGCTCCCCACCCCTGTCACGCTGGGGGTTTTGCAGCCCCTGGGGGAAGCTGGTGGGCTCAGACACTGTTCCAGCTTGTTGGCTTCGTGCAGGTGCAGAAACCACTGTGTGAACAACCACAGCCACAAACTTCAAATGGAGCTTTAAAGCTTCAACTTGGGAGAGGCTGCTTTGGTCCCAGCTGCTTTGCCAGACCTCTTTCTGGCTGTGGATTCCATTTTTTTTCCACTCTGAGGTGATCAGGAAACCTCTCAAGCTCCTCGTTGGGCTGAGCACCAAGGAGGAGCACTGGATTGTGCACCCATGGGTAGATTTGCATTTCACAGAGTGATAGAATCGTTGAGGTTGGAAAAAAACTTAAAATTATCAAGTCCCACTGTTTTGTGAGGGCCCAGGTGGGTCAAAACTTAACATGAAGTTGGGGTGAGGGGGAGCAGGGGGCTCTTTAGCACCACTGTGAGCGTGTGGCTCTGTGTTCCCCTTGCAGGCATTCCCAACCTGATCACAGCCGACATGATCAAAGAAGGAGCTGCAGTTATTGATGTGGGGATAACACGAGTGCAGGATCCCGTCACTGCCAAGTCAAGGCTGGTTGGGGACGTGGATTTTGAAGGTATGAAAGTCTCTGCAGCTACTTCCTTGAGTGCTAAAGGTCAGGGCTGCTGCAGAGGGGAAGGAGAAAGTCCTGGTTCATGTGACAGAGCAGATGCAAATCAATGCTTATGTTCCTTTGCTTGGTGCACCTGATATTGTACCATATGGAAGTGTGCAGCCTTCCTGGAATATAGCATCACAGAATGGTTTGGGTTGGAAGGGACCTTAAAGCCCCCCCAGTGCCACCCCCTGCCCTGGGCAGGGACACCTCCCACCACACCAGGTTGCTCCAAGCCCCCTCCAACCTGCCCTTGAACCCCTCCAGGGATGGGGCAGCCACAGCTTCTCGGGGCAACCTGGGCCAGGCTCTCACCACCCTCACACCAAACAAGTTCTTCCCCACATCTCAGCTCCATCTCCCCTCTTGCAGTGTCAAACCCTTCCCCCTCCTCTAGGGCTCCCCTCCCTGATCAAGGGTCCCTCCCCAGCTTTCCTGGAGCCCTTTGAGGGACTGGAAGGGGCTCCAAGGTCTCCCTGGAGCCTTCTCTTCTCCAGGCTGAAACCCCCAACTCTCTCAGCCCCCCCTCCCAGCATCTCCATGGCCTCCTCTGGCCCCATCCAACAGCTCCATGTCCTTCTGATGATGCCCCAGAGCTGGAGACAGTGCTCGAGATGGAGTCTCATGACCCCACATGCCATGGGAAAGCCCTATGCTGCACGGCAGCGACTCAGCCTGTACCCAAGCAGTTGGGTGGCTTTGCTCCAATTCATCACTCCCACTCCTGCTCTTAAATAAAACCACGCAGAGCTCACCTTCTGGCTTGCTGCTCACTGCTGAGCTGCAGCAGTGCCCAGAGGGGCTGTTGCGATGAGCCCTGTCCCTCCAGGTGCCTGGTGATGGACAGCTGGAACCTCCTCCTGGAAGAGAGAGAGAGAGGGTGAATGTTCAGACTGTTAGTGGTTGCCCTCAAGAGCACGTGTGAATCCACCATCTAGTCTTGGACTTGACATTGTGCTGTAAGTCCAGCTGTTAGACCTTGCACTTTGTCTTTCTCCCAGCTTGGGCTCTGCAGTTAATGTTGCTCAGGAGCAGGGATGGACTCTGGTGTCCTCTGCCCTGCCCTGGATAATGGGGAAATCTTTAAGAAACCACCGTTTCTTATCTTGAAGGATATTTGAAGAAACTGTGAAGGAATTGGAGCAATGGAACTCAAGTGTGCTCTCTGCTGTGAATGGGGCAAAAAAACCTCCACTTTGAAAAACTACTATTCCTTTGCTTCCAATGTCCTTCAAGATAGTTTGATGGAATTTGAGCAGTGTTAGTATGAGGCTGTAACCAGTCTGGCCAGCCAGGCTGGAGAGTGTCACCTCTCTTGACTGGGGTGCTGAGCTCTGGTGTTTTCCTCCCCCAGGGGTGAAGAAGAAGGCCAGCTACATCACCCCTGTCCCTGGAGGAGTTGGGCCCATGACCGTGGCCATGCTGATGAAGAACACCATCATTGCCGCCAAGAAGCTGCTGAAACCCAAAGAGCTGGAAGCCTTAACAGCTTAACCTGGGACTCTCCTTAGCACTGAACACGACATTCCAGAGTGACTCCCAAACAGGCCGATAGAAAAATGCAATATTTTTATTTATTGTGTTGGAAGTGGAATTTCCTACTCTGAGGTCAGAGGTATTTATTGGAAGCTGAAGCGTATGCACGTTAGTCGTACTGAGGTGTGATTATCTACACTCCTGGCCTCCTCATGCTAGCAAAGCTGCTTTCTGTCCAAGCCAGCCCCCCTTGGATGCTGTCCTTCCCCGTGTTGGGGGGTACCCAGCATTGGGGACCCTGGTGGGGGGTTCCCCAGGAGCTCGGTGTGGCCTTAGCGAGCCCATGGCAAGCAGAGCGCTGGCTCCGCCGTGCCAAAGCAATGGCCTTCATGGTTCTGTTCTCAGAGAGGCTCAGCCTGGCTGGTGCTGAGGTCTTCTACTCGATGCTGGATGTTTAGTTTGAGTTAGAGCTCTTTTGTAGAAGCTGTTACTTGAAGAAGAAGAAAAAAAAAGAGATAAGCCATATGTCTGTCCTGGCAGTGGCAGATCTGTTGTAATATGTTCTTCTAGTGAGTGGCTAAGCTGTTTTTTTTTGCTATTTTAATGGTGAGTTTTTTTTCAAAAAGCCTTTTTTCTAACCAAAGAACTGTTGGTGTTACACTAGGCACACAGGAGCCTTCCTGGACTGTGCTGGAAAGTGTCTGAGTAATTAGTAAATAATGCAGGCTAGCTCGAAATAAAGGATGAGAAGGAAAAAAATCACCTATTTGTGTCCTAGAATTATTACTCGGCAAGTTTTCTCCACTTCTGCCAGAAAAGGAGGTTTTTAAGGAGTTTATTAAAGCAGTTGTGATGTCCCTGCAGAGCAGGGCTTTCTCCTGCTGCCTTTCTCCCTGCGTTTATCAAAGACATGACTGCTCCACGCATCCCCAACACAAAAAAATGTCCTGATTTGAGGTAAAACAACCCATTTTCTGTTCAGCAACTTTTACTTCTCAGCTGAGCCTCTTCTAAGTGAGCAGGTCTTCTACTTTTGTGCCTGAACAAAACCCGTTCAGCTCCATCCATGTGCCAGGACAAACTTAGTCCTCTAATGAGTTTGTTTGTGAGCTCTAATTAGCCATGGAACATTAACCTTACCTGAGGTCGTGGTGCCTGGGGAGGGATGGAACAACTTACAGGTGATATTGTTTCTGGGCAGTGAGGTGAGTCTTGGTCTCCTCCTTCTTGGTGTGTCTCCTGGAAAGACTGATCCCACCTTCCTGGGAGCAGGGAAGGGCTGTGGTGAGGCTGAAGGGCTGTTGGGGGTGAGTTGGGACCAACCCCACACCTGGCTCTCTCCTGGAGGGGAGAGCCCTTAGGAAAAAACACTAAATTTGGGAATTTAGTGCACCAGAAAGACACTAAGAGCTGAGACTCATTGAAAGGAGGTTTATTGGGTTGTATCACCGATAAATACAAAAGGGCTAAAGTGGTTCTGCGATGGAGGTGGCACATCGGAGACGCTCCACTCTTCTCATATACAAAAAAAAAAAAAAAAGTATAAACCAGGTGTGTGAACCTTGCAAAAGAGACAAATTTGGTCCAAAACAAGCTGGATGCGAGAGCGGCTTCAGCTCTGCTCTAGGAAACAGCTACCAGAGTCCACAAAGCCTTTCCGCGGGCGGTGGGGGATGGAGCTGATGGAGTGGGTAAAGGAAATTAAACCTGTTTGATTAAAAGGGGAAACCTACCTGTACCACAAAAAAAACTGCTACAAAACGGTCATGGTGTGTCCCGGTTGGAAGAGTTCTTAAATGTTAACCTCAAGCTACGTTGGGAATAATATTCTGTTATTTACCTCAAACCACCTTTCCCCAGGAGAGGGGGTACTTGAGCCCCTCCCTCAAAAAAATAACTTTGCTATAAATAGGAATTTGCCTTCAAGTTTTTTGTTGGAATCGACTATTTACAGGCAACTGGGATCTGCCCCGTGCAAAGGTTCAGACCAGCTGCAAGATTGAACTGGTGTCCCCAAAACCTGCCTTCCCCCCCCCCCAGTACGGCTGGTATGAACAGCAGGTGGGATGGTTTGGGGTAAGGTTGGGGCTCTGTGAGGCTTGAAATAGAGCCCAAGAACAACAACAAAAGAATCCATCTAGCAAAAATTAACCAAAGAAAGAGATTGGAAAGGGTTGCTTCAGACCACTGTTTCTAAACCCCAGCTGGGCTTGGCCCCTGCGAGTTAAAAAAAAAAACAAACCCAAAAACCCTTTGAAAGCCTCAGTGCTGCTGGAAAAAAAGGTGGTGAGAGAGGGGCAGAGCCCAACGGAGCTCGGTGCCCACCCAAGCTCCCACCTCACTCTTCCCTTCCTTCCCCAGGGGGGCCCAAAGGCAGCGGAGCCGAAATCCTGATGGAGCCCAAGTGGGGAGCTGCCCAAAAATGTGGAGGGAACGAGGTGGGGGACACCTTTGCTCTCCCCAAGCTCTTTGCTGTTACCACCTGTGAATATCCAAGGTCGAGGAGGTGACGTGGGGGCAAAGCCCCTCACACAGGGGTTTGGGGGGGTCCTCTGGCCAGATAATGGCTCCAGCTCCCATCCAGAGGGAGGGACAGGGCTGGGACTGACCCTGGTGGCTCTGGAAGAGCCAGGGGTGGGGATGGGCAACCAAACGGCTTTGCTGCGGCAACCGGTCCCCTTTCCCAGTAGAAACCATTCCCCATCCCCTGTGGAAACCAAGGTCCCTCTTCCCTGCTCTGCTCTCCTGCTGCAGCCCTTAAACCAGGGCTGCTGGTCCTCCTTCCCTTCTCTGGGACATCACTCCAGGCCACCAAGTCCTTTATAACCCTGCTGTGCCTCCTCGTCCCCTCCTGTGGCTCCTCGTCCTCTCCTACATGTCCACCCCGGGGCGGTGGGGTCCCTCCTGCATCCCCTCCTGGGATGCTGTGCCTCAGCAAGGGACTCCCCGTGGCCGTGGGCTTGGACCAGGGTTCCTCTGGCCAACACAAAGCCCCATCACCTCCCTCTTTGCCAAACAAGACTCCCCGGAGAGCCCCGTTAGGATTTAAGGGATGGGGGAGCGGGGATGTGCTCTCCCCCCTTCTTCCCCCTCAGCCATCCGAACCTCCTCTCCGCCCCAAAAATCCCCCTCAAACCCATCACCCCATCCCCATCAACCCATTTAAGGGATGGGGGAGCGGGGATGTGCTCCCCCCTTCTTCCACCTCAGCCATCCAAACCTCCTCTCTGCCCCAAAAATCCTCCTCAAACCCATCACCCCAATGTGGTCCCCGTCCCCATCAACACCCATCACCATCCCGGCTGCTCCCACAGTCCTGGCCACCATCAGCTTCTCCAGCCCCCAGCAGCGGCTCCGGGGCCAAAAATAAAAATCACCAATTCCACCTTTTCAGCCCCGTTTCGCCACCAGCGGCGACGCCTTCGCCCGGCAGAAAGGGAGAAAATTCAACAAGGCGTTTAACTCGTGACGCTAAAAACTACCGGAGCAACGGACCCCTGGGGCCACGGGTCTCCTCCGTCTCACATAGAAAAATAAGCCCAATTTGCTTTATATATATATATGAATATATAAATATCTATATCTATATATATATATAAATGGCAGAGGAAGCGCTGCGCGGGACTATAGCGTGGTCTCACTGCCCATGTCCCGAGGTGGCTTTTCGGTGTCGGTGTCCTCGTAGTCCGACTCCATCTCGATCTTCACCTGGGGCACGGCACAGATGGGGTTTCGGGAGTAATTAAACGCGGGGGACGACGGGCACGAGATCTTCAGGTGAAGCGTAATACTGAGGAGGAGGAGGAGAGAGGGCAGTGAGCATCCCAGCATGGGCACCCGCATCCCAAAACCACCCCGGCACCCCCAGTAAAAGGCTCCTGATGATGCTACTGCAAATAAAATTCATAAAAATATTATATTATGGCCTTTAATATGGACAATCTGCAGCATTCGCAGCTGCGGGTGGAGAATCACAGAATCAGAGAATGATATGGGGTTGGGAGGCACCTCTGGAGATCACCCAGCCCAGAACAGGGCCACCCAGAGCAGGTCCCACAGGAACGTGTCTGGGCGGGGTTTGAATGTCTCCAGAGAAGGAGACTCCACCACCTCTCTGGGCTCTCAGAGCGTGCTCCAGCTGGGGCCTCCCCAGGGCAGAGCAGAGGATCAGCATGACCTCCCTCCACCTGCTGCTCACACTCTTCCTGATGCCCCCCCAGGATGTCCTTGGCCTTCTTGGCCACAAGGGCACATTTCTGGCCCATGGGCATCCTGTTGTCCATCAGGACCCCCAGGTCTTTCTCCTCAGAGCTGCTCTCCAGCTGGTCACCCCCCAACCTGTCCTGGTGCAGGGGGTTATTCTTCCCCAGGTGCAGCACCCTCCACTTGCCCTTGTTGAAGTTCATCAGGTTCCTCTCTGCCCAACTCTCCAGCCCGAAATAATCCCAAACTTTCGGGATTCAGATGTACATCCCAACCCTAAAAATCCCTGTGGCTGTTACCCAGCGGCTCTAATACGGGCACGAGATCTTCAGGTGAAGCGTAATACTGAGGAGGAGGAGGAGAGAGGGCAGTGAGCATCCCAGCATGGGCACCCGCATCCCAAAACCACCCCGGCACCCCCAGTAAAAGGCTCCTGATGATGCTACTGCAAATAAAATTCATAAAAATATTATATTATGGCCTTTAATATGGACAATCTGCAGCATTCGCAGCTGCGGGTGGAGAATCACAGAATCAGAGAATGATATGGGGTTGGGAGGCACCTCTGGAGATCACCCAGCCCAGAACAGGGCCACCCAGAGCAGGTCCCACAGGAACGTGTCTGGGCGGGGTTTGAATGTCTCCAGAGAAGGAGACTCCACCAC